GCATACGACTACATATATATACACATATGCATTCACGTATGCATGTACACATACACATACATATACATAGGCATAGACAGAAATCTATACATAATTACATACATACATACATACAGACGTACATACATTCACACATACCTCCGTGCATGCATGCACACGTACACGCTCAAACACAGGCATGCAAACAGACACGAATGCATTAATACACACAAGTACACTTTCATACATTACACATATACATACATACATACATACATACATACATACATGCATGCATGCATGCATGCATGCATGCATGCATGCATGCATGCATACACACATGCATACCGACCGGCCTACATATATACATACATACATGCATACATACATACGTACGTACATACACACATACATGGACGCAAACATGCATGATTGCATACATACATGTAATGCATGTATGCGTACGTACTACGTACACGCATACGTAAGTACACACACGTACATATGTATACATACATGCACGCATATATACATATGCGCATACAGACATACATACAGACATACATACACATAAGCATATATGTAACTACATATATATAGGTGGTGCATCCACCCCTCCTTTCCCCTCCAGCTTCTCGCCGAAGTTGGGACGGGGGGGTTCGACGGCGCGGGTCGTGTCGCCAGAATCGCCCGCAGCATCAAGCACCGAGGCAAGTGTTCATTCCTTGCGTTGGTAACCCTTTTCCCGCCCCCCTGGAGGGGGCCCAAAGTTCGATGGCAACTCATGGGAACCTCCTATGCCATGTTGCTGCCTCCTGCGAATCGAATTTACCGAAAGAGTCAGATGGAAGGTGGAGGGGGCGAGGTGGATGCGGGGCGGGAAGGGTGAGGTATAGGTGCCAACTCCTGGAAAGGCGGGCGCGAGTGGAGCTCTCAAGCTGGACCGACGAACAATCGAACAGGATTGCAGCTGTATTAAAACAGATATGGCCAGACTTCACTAAACCGACTCGACCGAATCAGGCTAGATTATGCCAGGTTGGACCCCTCGAGGTCTGGACCCTTTCCCCAGGACTAGTTTTTCGACCGGGCGTCGTTCTCTGATGGCCCTGGGCCCCAGTAGAAGCAAAAAAAAAACGAGAGTGGCCAAATACCTGCCGCCAGACCTTGTTCACGACGCCACGGGGGTCGAGGATGGGAAAATTGAAAGCGAAGACCGCTGGATTACTTGTGGAGCGCGCGCAGCTAGAACGTGCAATCGGCTGCTCAACGGCGCTGCGCGAATACGCGCCGACTGCGGAGGGGCCCACGGGGAGCGCGGGGCCCACTCCGAAACCAAAGTGGACCTCATTCCACGGTTTTGGGCGAAACCCCGGTGGGAAGTCTCAACATCCTGGCGCCGCAGACCGCCCCGGGCCACCGCGGCGGCCTGCTGAAGCAAACCCGGGCAAATTCACACGCAGAATGATGTGAGAATTGGTTGTTTGGCCCCATACGAAGGCGGGAGAGAAGTAAACGACGCAGGAGGGGGGGAACGACGACAGCACTGACTGTTTTATTTTCCGCCCAGCTCTGGCAGCGGTCGCCGAACGCGAGGCGCGCCCGAACCGCCGCCGCTCACGATGCACTGCCGCGGCCTCCCTCCGCGGCGAGGCGGCCCTTGCGCCGCGGCTCGTGCGCGCTCTCCCCATGGATTGCGCTCAACCCATGGATGGTGTTCAACCCACGACCACCAGGTCGCGGGCCTCCAATGACCCCGGCCGCTCGTCCGCTCACCTTCGCACGTGCCCTGGCGGAGGAATGTCGAAGTCCAGTCGCGCAAGGCGGATTCGACCCTGCGGTCCGACGCCGAGGATTCGGCGCCGCGCGGCCGTGGCCATTGGCTTTCCTCGCCCCATCAGCTTCCGCAAAGCCCCCACGATTGGCCGCGCCAGCCCTCCGTTGCGCCATTCTTCTTGCGGTCAAACTCTTCGCGTTCCTGGGAGCGGCGCGCCGACGCTGCTGTGGCGGCGCGGGGCCCTGCAAGCGCACGCGCGGCATGGGATCCCTACCCATACTCTGACAATGTATCCCCAAGTGCTGGGGAGCTCCGGATGGCAACCCTCGCGAAATTATCCCACTGGGGCATGCCAAGACCAAGGGCATGGGGGCTCACGGCGCCAAGCGCGGCGAAGGGAGACGGCCGTTGAGGCGTGTCCGCCGCCGCTGCTACGGGGGCAGCGCCATCGCGCCATGCGCAATCCTCCATCCAAGCACTGCTGTCGCCCCGATCCCGTGGCCAATCTACCCAGCCGCACGCTGACCAATCACGGCCGTCGTCCTTGCCATGGCCCCACCAATCGTTGCGGCTGGACCACCATCCTGCCGCGCCATGCCAATTGACTCCGCCTGTACCGTCCATTGCAGGACGATCGCGCTGGCGCGCGTCAGGCCGCGAGCGGCCCGAACGCACCGCTGCTCGCGGGCGATCCCGCGAGCGTGGGATGGTTTGGGCATTACGGCGACGGACGACGCAGTATGATTGGATGGCAGAGCGGTTGGAGGGAAGGGGTGCGGGAAAAGGGAGAACGAAGTGGACGAAGAGTGGGGAAACGAACCAAAGGAAGGAGAAACGGGCGGAACAGAAGGAGGAAGCGCAGGAGAAGGAGGGTGGAGAAGACGATGGCGGAGGAGGACGGCAGCAAAGGAGGATGGGGCGACGAATTAGACATGACTTGCATGGACAAGCATGACACGGATCGCGAACGCGTAGATGATGAGCGCGGAGTTAGCAGGCAGCTCGCTCTAAGCATCACGAGCGAAACACGTTCGAGAAGCAGGGGAAGGAGGGACAAGACGACAAGTTTCTTCTGTCACAGAGGGCCTCCGTCTTCCGTTCGACTGTCGTTTCTGTGACAGAGGGGGCGACATTGTTGCTTTATTTCGGCTTGTGGGTTACCTCCCGCGGCTGTCCGTGCTCAACCAAGCCCTGCCAGGGCTGCGCCTCGCTGCTCCCCAGACATGAAATGTGCCGCCAAACATTCGTAGTGTGACACTCGTGCGAGCGGCAGCTGGCAGAGCGAAGCAATACAGCGTACTGCTCGCTGTGTGGGCGAAGACTCACTGGGGATCCGCACGTAGGCAGCAGAATCGCTGCACTCGACGAGCCCAATCCCAGCGCCGATCCAAGAAATCGGCGCGGAATTCCGAAAGCTTATCTTTATGTAGCCTTTCCCAAAACAGCCCTTGCACCGAGAGGTCCCCACTTTTCTTACATAAATGGATGGGGCTCCCAAATGTTCACCTCGTTGGCGCCCGTGCCCGCTCGTGGGCACCTCGTGAGCGCCCCGTGCGCTGCTGGGTGGGTGTCCCGAACCTCCGACGCGTTGGCGCCCGTGCCCGCTCGTGGGCGCCTCGTGGGTGCCTCCTTTGCGTCGGCTGGGTTTCCCGAGGAATCGCCACGTTGGGGCCAGTGCCCGCTCGTGGGCGCCTCGTGGGCGCCCCGTGCGCTTGGCGGGTTCCCCAGGGTTTCGCCACGTTTGGGCCCGTGCCCGCTTGTGGACGACCCGTGGGCACTCCATGCATGTACACAACATCGTTTGCCCAACATAGCGTACAACACATAGCTTGCATAATATAGTTTGCAACGCATTGCTCACACCACGTAGCTCACACCATGCAGTTTACAATGCGCAGCTCGCACAGTCTGAACTATCAACCACGGGTTACATAGTACTGCTCACATCATTTAGCGCACGACACATAGCTTACACAACATGGTTTACGATAGGTAATTCACAGGACAGATATCACCCCCACACAGTCCACAACACATACATTGCACCGCCGAGCTTCCACCACATAGGTTCTCCTGTATAAAGGAATGATTGGATCTACCCCCCCCCGGAATGAACGGCCCCCTCTTCGTATTGCAATGTATGTACGTTTCTGCCCCATCGTCCATCGTGCCACACCATCCCACGCAGGCCGGTATCGCCCCCCCCCCCTTCTCTGCAAAGAAAACTATTCGCGCGCACTCGTTTACGATTATCCAAAATCAGCAGTTTGCAAGAATATACCAAGCGGGTCTTTTTTCGCGCGCATGTCGAAATCGTTCGAACGCCCATGCACGCGTGCTGTCGCAAGAGTCCTTCTTGCAAAAAGTGTACGAAGCGCGCGAGTGCACGCACGAGCACGCTGAAATTCTTCGAAAAATCGAGATCGAATGTCTCGGAAACATATCACAACACATGGTCTTGCAACGCCCGTTTTCGAAACAAGCCTGCGCTCGCGTTTCTGTGAATTCCTGGGAACGAACGCCCTTGTCCGCGTGCTGGGGGGGCACGGTCCGTGTCAGAAACAACCATGCGGGCCGCTTTCGCGCGTCGGCCGCGCGCGCATGTCGACCTCCTTCCGAAACTTCATCAGCGAGGCGAAGACGCCGTCATCGTCGTCAGCGTGATCAGCATCGGCGAAGTCACTGGCCTTGCCGTCGTCGGTGTCATCATCGTCGCCAGCACCGTTGCTATCATCCTCGTGTCCACCGTCGTCCTCAACCCCATGATACCGCGCCCGCCCAAGTCACCGATTCCCACTGACGTGACCGCTGGAACTGCCCAGCGGTCAGCGCCACAGCGGCCGCGTCGGTCGCGCAAAACTAGCTGGCCGCTGCGCGCGCGAGCATGCGCGGGCTAGCGCGGCCGCAGAGATGCACCAGCCAACACCAAGCACTCGTTGCAATCGGCGCGGCATGGGACTATGCAAGCCAATTCGCGGATGGGTGGGAGGGATGATTGCGCGAGCAGTGGAATTGACAACTCACTGCAGGCATATGTCAACTGCACAACATACTTCGCACCACGGAGCTAACACCGCAAAGCTTACACACCCGTGCTTGCACCACAAAGTTTCCACAACATCTAGTTCTGCTGCACCATAAAATAACTCATTGTTTGGGGTCCACGCTGGCTGCAATTTCTTCTTCGGCTCTTGCAAAGTGAACCTGAGGAGAGGGGGGAGATACCCTTCCTCTGCAGCGCGTCCTTGATGGTCCGCAGAACAGAAACTTCGGAGCAGAGCTTCTTCACCGCGTCCTTCATTCGGTTGGCGTTCTCCTCCGCCTCGGGGCGACCACGCAGAACAAGCTCGGGCCCGGTCTGAAAGGTACACCCCTCCCTTTCCTCCTCATCCTCATCATACACCAAATTCCTCACTTTCCTCCCCATCCAGCTCTTCATTCCTCCTACTCCTCCTCCTCCTCCTCCTCCTCCTCCTCCTCCTCCTCCTCCTCCTCCTCCTCTTCCTCCTCCTGCTCCTCCTCCTCTTCCTCAGCGTCCTCCTACTCCTTCGTCCCCATCGTCTGCGACACGTCGGGACCCATCGCAGGCTCTAACTGGGGGCACTGGCTCTCGAATCACAGGACCTACACGGCGCGCCAGCACACATCAGCGTGCAGAGCACGGTTGCCGATACTCTTTGCCAGGTGCTCAGGCAGAACTGGTCCAGGGGGCGAAGAGAAACACGAAGAGAAAATATAAGAAATGACAGCCGCATCAGAGCTCCAATCATCGATTTGAAAGGTCAAGATGATCAGCGTCCTGGTAACCCAGCTCAGACCAGATCGCAGCCGCCGGGGAGAGGAAGAAGAAGACAATCATGAAGTGGCCGAATGTGCACACGCGTCCCTGTGGTCCTTCTTGTTTGCATGTTCTCGCCCACCGTTGCAAGGCTGGTGCCGCTTGGTTATTGCAGCTGCCGTCTCACGACTGCCCCCTGACCATGTCTCATAGTCCGTGCGCGCGCGCCAAAAACCAGGCAGGCGCAGGGCTTAACGAACGCGCGCGCGGAGAGAATAGAACAAAGAGGGAGGGCGCCCAGCGGAAGTGAAGGAGGAGGAGGACCCAAACCTCCAACGTCATGATTTGCTCGCCGCATGAACCTCTGGAGGTCCGGGCCCATTCCCACCGGGGTCTTTCTACGACGGCCCCGGGGCCCACCAAGGGACCCCAGAGACCGAGATCGGCCAAAAACCTCTCCGACGTGATTTGTCACGACGCAAGAGAAAACGGGGAGGAGGAGGAGGAGGAGGAGGAGGAGGAGGAGGAGGAGGCGGAGGAGGAGGAGGAGGAGGAGGAGGAGGGGGGGGGAGGGGGGAGGCGGGGAAGGAGGAGGAGGAGGAGAAGGAGAAGGAAGAGGAGGAGGAAGAGGAGGAGGAGGAGGGGGGAGGGGGGAGGAGGGGAAGGAGGAGGAGGAGGAGTACTCTGAGAAAGGAAGAAGGCAGGCGGCCACGAGCACGTACGAGGAGGGGGCAAAGATGTGTCTCTGTCTCTGCGCGTTCGGGCCTAACTCCTCTAGCTATGTAGTGGTGCTGTGGCAGCGCTGCGTGGTCGAGCGCTGGGTGTTTGCTTCATTTTCGGGATCGCGCGGGGAAGATAGCTCGGGAACGTGAAAAAAAAAGACAGGAACAGCAGGGATGGGAGGAAGCGACTAGGAGCGGGATGGAACGTGCCAGGTGTGGGGCACTGGGCTACACTGGCGGGCGGTGGGTGCCTCAGCGTCATGCGCATCATCCGCCACTCCGAGCGGCAGAACGGCACGATCATCATGTGGAAGCTCCGAAGCGGGGCATACCAATTTGTCTGCCAGGCCATTGAGAGACGAGCAGCAGCATCGAAGTTGGAAGAGGTCCGAACGGCGAAGGTACAGCGCGCCAGGAACCGTCCAATCGTGCCCGTCGCCAGCCGCAGCATGCAGAAATGAATCAGCATCAGGAAGAGTTTGTTCGGGAAGGTCGGCGTCGGCCGAACAGCGAAGGCACGGAACACCAGGCACAGCCCATTCATGCCAATCGCCTTCGGGATAGTTGTCGCAGGCACCAAAATGCAGAACGTGGGCTGGGCGAGCAGCGGCAGCGGCTCCACGATCAGCTTCAGGGGGGTATTGTTCGGGAAGGGCGGCGTCAACCATTTTTTCAACCAGGGTATCGTCGCGCAGAGATTCACAACCCACGTCCGAGTCGGAATTGGCATCATGATATTGCCAAAGCTGGAGGTTGAACATGTCGTATCGCAGGCGGCGCCGCATTTCCACGACCTGAACCCATGCGGCCTCGTGCTGCATGAGCTTCTCAGCCTCCGAGTACGCGTCCTGCCTCACAGTAAGAGCACGATCTTCGAATACACGGACAGCTTGACCGAGCGGCGGAAGAGGACCAGCACCATGCCGCATAGGACTAGGGGCGTTTCCTCGAGCCTCCCCCGGGACCCGCAGCTGTTGGATGAAATTGGCGACGCGACGCAGGTCGTCTTTCACGCAGACGCCCAAAGAGGCGATCGGCGGCCGAGCAAGTAGTGGCTGAGCGGCCGGTCGCAGTAGAACGCGCGGCTGGTGCAGAGGACCCCCCTGCAGCGCGCTGAGCGGCGGCAGCAGATCAGCCAACTGCAGCGCGCGCGCGGCTGGTGAATCAGCGACCACAGGATCCGCTTTCAGGGGTAGGCGGTGCTTGGCCTTGCCGTAGTCCGTGTCCTCGCGGAGGTACTCCTTGAAATATGAGTCGCTGGGCTGCTCCTGGGCGACGGGGATGGCCTGACGAAGCGAGCGCGAGCGCCGGCCTGGAACTTGTTGAAGTTCATGATGAAGGCTGAGCCCGCGATGAACCCGACGTGCATTTGGCGCCACCTGCCGAGGGCTGGCGAAATGGCGAGCTCCGAGAAGAACCACCACCACCACCACCACTGAGCCGTGCGTCCGGAGGGGCGCGCGGGAAAAAGAGTGCGCGATTGGCAACTCTTCAGGAAAATATCACTCAGATGGCACTGCAGAGCGACTGCGCGCACGCACAGACTCGACTGCGAAGCAAAAGCGGAGTGCCTGACGACTGCGAAGCGGAACAACCGAGCGCCTCACGACTGCGACGCAGAAAACAAGGCGCATCGCGACATTTGAATTCAGAGTGGAGGGAGACGGAGGGGGAGGGGGAGGCAGCGGGGGGGGGAAGGGAAGGGGCACCGTTGCTAGACATGCTGAAACAACTTGTACACCTAACTCGCCCACTGCCGGCGGGGGCGGCCCCTCTTTCGGCGCCCGGCCCATCTCTCGGGGGTCTCATCGCCATTGCAAACAGCGGCATTGACATGCGCCAGGCTTCCCGAATTCATGATTTCAGCGCACATGGCAACCTGCCTGGCGAGCGAAATCGGCGACAGAGATTTGGCGGATGCTTTTTGCAGCACCGCTGCGCTGCTAACCCGCGAAAGGAAAGACGGGCGAATTCCCAGCAAACGACGCGAGCATTCGCTGCGGAAGGAGTCTAAACGCGCACAGTCCGCTGTCAGAAGCCAAACAGAATCAAAAGAGCACAAGGGCTTGTTCAAGACAGAACTTTCATAAATATGCAGGTTCCGTTTCTTCCTTTTGAAGTCCGGCTCCACATCCGGCGCAACTGCTTGAAAATGCGGTTCGCTTCGCCAAGTCGCCTGTTTAGTTCAGTTGTCACTTTCCCATCGCGCGGAATACGACCACCAAAAATTGGCATCCATCACTGCCTTTTATGCGCTCGCCACTTGGTGATGTTATCGCCCGGTCTACGGCAGGAATCTGTACGCGCGCAATAGTTCCCCAATTATGTTCCAGGCCATGCTTCGGACTTTCCCTTACTATTGCTGCCAGCATATGCTGCAAGTTGGAACAGTGATGAGACACCAACAATGCATCATCAGCGTACAGGATATAACGTGTAATCACAAAACCAGGCTCTGGAAGTAGCAAAAGACTTCCGTACAAATCACGCAGCATGACAGTTTGTTCGATGATGAAAAGGCACGGCGAGAGCGGGCAAACCCGGGCGATCCCGGCGCGTTGTCGCCGTTCAAAAGAGCGGCCGGCGTGATCTACGATGGCGAAGAATCCCGCGGAATAGATCGAGCGCACTATTTCCGCCACGTCCCCTGGCAGGCCGAAGCGATCGAAGGCATCGCACATGCAGTCTGGCTTTAAGTTATTAAATCCTTTCGCCCAATCCAACAAAAGTATAATCAGACAGCCATTGACGTGCTAGTGGGCCGCATCGATCATCCGGCGCGTCAACATGAGCCCGTCGCCCGCGGCGCGGCGCGGCCGGAAACCAAATTGCGACTCTCCTAGTCGTGTTTCGGCACCTCCTTGAACCAGCCGGCTGCGTAGCATTGATGCCAGTACCTTATATCCAAACGGAAGTAGCGATATCGGTCCGTAGTTCGCTGACAAAGCGGCGTTACCCACATTGCAAAGTAGTGCAACTTTTGTTCTCTTCCGGAAATCCGGCACTGCTGTCTGCACCCGGCATTGTTGGGCGATGTTGAAGAGCACGTCGCTCGCAGCTTCGTCGGAGGCCAGAACCTTTCAAAAGTCAGGCGGGGCGTCGTCTGGCCCAGCTGCCTCGCCCTTCTTCAGCTTGCGGATCACGCTCTGGAACTCTTTCACGGTGAATGCCCCCATGTCGATTGGAAGCTTGTCGCCAAGATGCGTTTGGTTGTTTGGGCGGTGGTCGGAAAACTTATATTCCCATTGTGCCGATTCAAAATAGTCTGCCCAAAAATATCTGGTCTTTCAGAAATGTCTGATGCAGCGCCATCTGGGCGCCGCATGCTTGCGCGCTGCATTCTTGTCGGATCCCGCAAATATTGCATTGCGTCCCAACCGCCACCCGCCACCAGCCCATTTAGCCATGATTCCCGGTCTTGTTTCCCAGATGTCCGCACTTCTTCGCGCAAGCGTCGCTCGTTGTCATGGCCCCCGCGCTGTCGGTGAAGCGACCGCCCTTGAATCAAATCCACTGTTCGCTGGCTGGTCCAGGGCCGTCTGGCTCGAATATATCCGGCCGGCAGCGCGGCGGCAGCGCGGAAGAGAGCACGCTGCGAATTCTCGGCTGCGGTGTCCAAGTCCTCTGCATGAGGCCTTCCCATTGCAGCTTCAGTACATTCTCCAGTGAGCTTCGCCTGAACCCCCTCGTCCTTCAGCGAGGTTTTGTCGATGTGGCGTCGGCGTTGACGAGGCCCCTGTTGCCCCTCGAACTCGATGCTGATTGATGCCGTTGCCAGAAAATGACGGGTGATCAAAGAAACCCCCCGCATATTCAAACACTCTTGAATATTGGGCAACATGCTGCGACGGCATAGTACATGATCGATATGCGAAAAGCTTGCTGTAGAGATGTCGGCATCCACGGATTTGATCACCATGTTCTGGCACGCGATCAACTCGCAGTCTGGACGGTCGAAAAAAACGCATTGGCTACAACAAGTTTGCACGAACTACACGTTTCCATCAGCAGCTGCCTGCTTGAGATTGTCTGCCCTGATTTCTGGCAGAGTCGTCAGAGACGCCCCGTGGCTGAGCATTGAACACACGCTACCCGACAGCACTGCCCCCCCCCCCCCGGCCCCGCTGGAAGAAGCTGCTCGTTGAAGTCGCCGAGGATAAAAAGTTGCACTGTGCGTAGTTGTCGCTCGGATTGTAGATTGCAGCCTCGCGTGAAAACCCCGCCGCGCACCGTGATCGAGCCTCGAGCGCGGCGCGCATGCACTGACGAATATTAGCGCCCCTCCGGAGATCTTGGCCCGCAGCGAGGCGACCCGGTCGCCGCCGGCTTTAAAAGCGATCGCAGAGTTCACCACTGGAGGCCCCGCCAAGAAACCAAACCCAGCGCGCGTGCGATTTTGCAAATCAAGACTGCCACAGAAGATCAACTTATAATCACGCTAACTGGAATACTCGGCCCCATAGAAATGCGCCTCCTGAACACATAAAATTTCAATGCCGTCGACGCGCATCGTGCGCGGGAGCTCCAGCTTGACCACCGAGTCGCCGCGCAAGCCTTCGACGTTCCAAGTCGCCACACATCGGGCGCGACATGGCTCGCATAGTCGACGACGTCGGTGCCGAGTGGAAGAGGGCGGGGGAATCGAAGAAGAAGGCGAAGCATCTGAGCACCCAGCGCCCGCGCAAAATTGACCCGCAACGGTAGCTTTGCCCACTCCCGGATACATGGAAGCAACTGTTGGTGAATGAGGTGATGTAGATATCCCCGAAGGCGGTGAGACTTCCGCCGATGGCTGCACGATGGCATCTTTGCCCATACTCGCACTGCCCAAGCCTGGATCAACGAGAGGAGGACGCAAAAACTTCCATACTCGAAGCTATATCTGTGGCAACGCGCCTGGCGTCGACAACTTTGCCCTTGCCCGGGTGGCGTGCTTGGCTGGGCCCGCGCTGGTAGGAAAATGAAGAGGCGGCATCAAGGGATACGTTGACTTCATCCGTCGCGTCACCCACATCGAAGGCACGAGCAAAAGTCTGCAATGAAGAAAAGGTTGCAGTTGAGACGGTCCAACCGCATGTATAAGCTTTGGCGCTGCTGCGAGTCAGTTCCTGCCGCGTGTCCTACTATACTTTGCGGCGCCTGCGGGCGCTCCTTTGGCCCCTCCTTTGGCCCCTCCTTTCGTCCCTTTGCTGGCGCGCTGCGCTACTCCATCACATGAGTCCAACAACTTCTTGAACTCTGGGTGGTCGCGCATCTCTGTCCACGTGCCCAGTCTTCGCCCCGCTCCCTCCTAACCGCACCCCCGTCGATGGTCACTGTCAGGGCACGCTCTCCGCCCACCTCAAGCGCGCACGGGTTCTGGTCGGCGACTCGTATGCCCCATTCCATATTCATGGAGTTCTTCAAGAAATACTTGAATCCAAAGCACAAGTTCCGGGCTGCTCGGACGACAGGCAGGCGGTCTGGAGTGCACCAAACTGTGTACCCGTTCCTCTGGAGGCTGGCGCTGCGGACCTGCGCGACAGTTGCGTCCGGGCCCTCTGTGTTGCCAAACTCGCAGCGGATGATGTATTGGAAACCACCGCCTTCAACGTAAATATTCGTGCACGCTGGCGCCCCCATCCTTGCAATCTCCGCCTGAACCCACTTGGAGGCGTCATCGAAGGAGGCGAAACCGTTCAAGCTGCCCACCACGGCGGTAATAAATCTCTTGTCATTAGCGGGGGATGAATCACGGAATGAGATGTTTCGGCATACGATCTCGGCGTGGTTGCCATGCTTGCCATCTCTTCCCGCATCTCTTCTATAGCGTTATCCATGTTAGTAGTACGTATCTGTAAGTCTTCAATGTCATCGTTTACCGTATCTTGCAACTCCCCGAGGTCTTTGCGCAATAGGCCCACCGCCTTCCGCAAGTCCTCCTGCGAGACACTGTGTTGCTTGATCGCTCGGATGTCGTTTTGGACAGGGTCCAAGTGCCTGTTGACAATGGCCTCGGAATTGAAGCTGCTGTGCGTGTACTTTTGCATCTGCCCCGTCAACAGGAAGTTGATGCGAAAATGCTGCAGCTCGAGATGATCCTGCCGGTGCTGGGGCTTCCACATCCAGGCCGTCCATCTCGTTCACCGGGCCGCTGACGCGCGCAGTTGTAGCTTTAGGTGCTGTCGCTGGTGAAGAGGACGGTGAAGCGATGTTGTGCGTCCCTGCAGACAGCTGTCGCACAGGGGTACCTGGCATGCGACCACCTGAAGAAGACATCGCAGCCCACAGTGGTGGTGCTAGGGAAGAGCAAGTTGTAAATAGACTTGAGCCGCGCTGAGGGACGGCGACATGGCGAGCTCCGAGAGGAACAGGTTGTAGAAATCCACGCTCGATGGCGAGGGCGCGTCGCTCGGCAAGCTTAGTCACACTGCGGCGGTGCACCATGCAGAAACTCACACTGAGATACACCGGCAGACGTCGCAACCAGGAGACATGCTTGGGGCGTGCAGCAGCGCGTGCGGGATTGCGTCCTAACATGAAGTTGGCTTGGGCCAAAGTGGCTACGGAAGGAGGAGGAAGAGGAAGAGTCAACGGCCGCACGTGGAGGGGACGGATCCCGACCCTCCGCGGTCCTGGCACGAGGCCGCCCAGGCCACATAGCCATAGCCAGGACGATGGAACCCCAAGATCAGGAAGACAACGACGGCGGACCCAGACCTTCTCGCGTCGCGAGAAAATCACGACGGATGGTTTCTGGCAGTTCTGGGCCCCTGGGGGCACCCCATCTCAGCCCTGGGATACTCAGAAACCAGCTCGTGATGGAAGACCGGTCCAAGGGGAGGGGCCCACGTCACGAACAACTCTGCGACGTCGGAGGAAGGGCGGGATGGGGTGAGGAGGGCCTGCCTCCTCGGAAGGCACGCGTGGCTTCTCCCACAAGAGGGGCCTGCCCCCTCTGAGAGGCTCCCGAGGAGGCCCTTTGGAGGGCGGTCGAGACCTCTGAGAGTCCACGCAGTGCTACAATCACGGCGTCAGAGCGCTGGGGAGATTGAGTGCTTTCGGCTTGGAGGTCGCGTTCCCTCCCCTGGGGGTCCAAGACCGCGACGGTGGCGACGGCGACGAAGGCGGCGGCAGCGGCGGAAGCCCACGGCAGCGACGGAGGCGGCCGCCAAAGCCGAGGAGAGGACGCAGGAGGGGTGGGGGATAGGACACGGCGGCGGCGGAGGAGGGGGAGAGATAGGGGGGTATACGGGAGGGAGGAGAAAGAGGAGGAGGAGAAGCCAGAGCCCTCAACGGTGGAGAAAAAAACTGCCTCGTCCCCAGTGCCGGAATGTCGGAATGTCGCCAGGGGCCGTCTCCCGACGGCCCACGGGGGCCCGAAGACCGGCCCCCCTGGTCGCCGAACGTGGAGACACGTTACGGGAAAAAGCAGCAACAGGAACAGAAACTGTTTCGTCGCGGGCTGCTTTCGGATGTCCCGAGGCCCCCAAGGCGGCCTTCCATGGCCCGACAAGACATGACTTTCACTGCGGGAAAAGTATCATTGAAAGACACATGCTTGAGTGGCGCAAACACGTGCGCGCGGCGCAAAGGCGAGAGCCACATGCCCCGCCCTCCATCCTTGAAGCTGTTGCCAGTGTATGACATATGTGTGCGGTGCTAAGGCAAGAGCAACCTTTTGAAAACGACCCGCCCTCCATCCTTGAAGCTGAGGCAGACTGTTTGGAAAGAATATGCGCGGCGCTGAGGCGCGAGCACCATTTATTTTTGAAAACCGTTTTGGAACCATCTTGCACAACCATGGGGGTAGCGGTACTACCTTTTTCTCCTCAGGCCGAAGCGCCCCCCACTGGATGCAGCGTGGGTCTTCATCGACGCCGCCGCTGGTTGCCTCCCTCCGCCTTCCTCGATAGCTTCGTCCGCCGCCGCCGCTGAATGGATAGCAGGGAAGTCCATGAGCTACCCTCAGAGCATGTCACGCAGCTTGACGAAGACCTGCAAGTCTCTCAAGCACTGAAGTGCCGCCGCCGCCGCGCCGCCGCTGCCGCAGCCTCGTGCTACGATCGGACTCCTACTGTACTAGTCGGTTCGACGTGCAACAGTTGCAAAAGTCGCAAGATGGTTGCAACTAACTTGCAAGTCCGCCGAACTGCTCCAAGTCTGAGTATGTAGCGGGCCCAACTCGTAGTAGCTGGGCGTACTTGCAACCCACTTGCATGTGCCTTGCAAGTGAATTATAATCACCTGTTGCACGTCACAGCGATTACTACAGTAGAGGCGGCGATACCCCCACACCCACCGGAGAGGGCAGCCTTGGCCTTCATCGACGCCGCGCTCATGGCCCCCTCCAGCTCCGCGTCCCGCGCGTGCTGGGCCTTCTCCGCCGCGGCCTCGGCGGCCTTGTGCGCCGCCTCCGCCTGGCGCTGGGGTCGCGGCGAGGAGCCTCGTCCTCCTCCTGCTGCTGCTCTTCCTCCTCCATCTCCTCCTCCGTCCCCTCCTCCTCCTCCTCCTCCTCCTCCTCCTCCTCCTCCGCCTCCTCCGCCTCCTCCTCCTCCTTCCTCTTCTCCTACCTCCTCCTCCTCTCCTCCTCCTATCCTCTTCCCTCTTCCTCCTCCTCTTCCTCTCCTCGTCCTCCTCCTCCTCGTCCTCCTCCTCTTCCTCCTCCTCCTCCTCCGCCTCCTCCTCCTCCGCAACCTCCTCCTCGTCCTCCTCCGCCTCCCTCCTCCTTCAGCTCGTCAACCTTCCCATGAGATCCTCACTGCGCCTCTCGTCCTCATAAAATGAATACTCGTCATCGTGCTCCACACCTCCAGATGCAGTTTGAGTGTACCCAACAACAACAACAACAACAACAACAACAACAACAACAACAACAGCAACAGCAACAGCAGCAACAGCAACAGCAACAGCAACAGCAACTGTGGCTGAGGCGCGGCTGGACCAAATGTGTCTCTTCCGGGCGGCCGGTGGCGCGCCGTGTCCCGCCGGTGTCCCGCCGGTGTCCCGCGGTGTCCCGCGGTGTCCCGCGGTGCCCCGCGGTGTCCCGCCGGTGTCCCGCGGTGTCCCGCGATGACGATGATGATGATGATGATGATGATGATGATGATGATGAGATGAAATGGGATGAGATGAGATGAGATGAGATGAGATGAGATGAGATGAGATGAGATGAGATGAGATGAGATGAGATGAGATGAGATGAGATGAGATGAGATGAGATGGGATGAGATGAGATGAGATGAGATGAGATGAGATGGATGAGATGAGATGAGATGAGATGAGCTGAGATGATGATGATGAGATGATGATGATGATGATGATGATGGTGATGCTGATGATGATGCTGCTGATGATGATGACGATGATGATGATGATGGTGGTGATGCTGATGATGATGATGATGAGAACGATGATGATGATGATATGATGATGGTGTCCCGGTGATGATGATGATGATGATGATGATCATGTCGATGATGATGCTGATGTCGATGATGATGATGACGATGATGATGATGCTGATGGTGTCCCGATGATGAGGATGATGATGATCATGATGATTATGTTGATGATCATGATGATGACGATGACGGTGTCCCGATGATGATGACTATGATGATGTTGATGTTGATGATGCTGATTATGATTGTGTCCCGATGATGGTGATGTTTATGATGATGAGGTTGATGCTGGTTATGGCGTCCCGATGATGATGATTATTCTGATGGCGATGATGATGTTGATCGATGATGACGATGATGATGCTGATGATGATGATGATGCTGATGATGATTTCGATGATGAGGATGAGATGATGATGATGATGGTGTCCCGATGATGATGATGATGATAACGATGGTGATCATGATGGTGTCCCGATGATGATGCTGCTGCTGATGATGATGATGACGATGACTGTGTCTCGATGCTGCTGATGATGATGATGTTGATGATGATGATTGTGATGATGGTAATGATGATGATGGTGGTGTCCCGATGATGTTGATGACCGTGATGATGATGATGTTGGTGTTGATGATGAGGACGGTGTCCCGATTATGATGATGTTGGTGATGATGATGTTGATGTTGATGTTGTTGACGATGATGATGACGTTGATTGTGATAGCGGTTGTGATATCGATAGTGAGACCGAATGTGATATCGATTGTGAGATCGATTGTGAGATCGATTGTGAGATCGATAGTCAGATCAATTGTGAGATAGATCGAGTGAGATCGATTGTGAGATCGATCGAGGGAGATCGATCGAGCGAGACCGATACTGAGATCGATTATGAGATCGATAGTGAGACCGATCGAGTGAGACGTTGGTTCCTCCCCCCCCCCCGAACCTCCTTATCACCCGAAGGGTGGTCGTATAGGTAGATATAGGGCAATGTTGCAATTTGTTGGCAACGTCAGATCTGGACTCAGAGTTTTCGGGCGCTTTCTATGAGAGAGCGCGCCCGTGGCGCACCCCCAAAAAGGGTGGGGGTACCCCCTTAGCTACCCCTCCCCCTCGGACCTGCCCTGCCGGAAGCCCCCACCCCCTCCATTTACTCGCCCCTCGGAAGCTACACCCCCCCCCTCCCTTTCCAAAAGGGAGGGGGCTTAGCTACCCTCACCCCCCTTGAACCTCCCCTGCCGGAAGCCCCCTCCCCCCCTCCTTTTTCCCAACCATCCTGTGGTGTTGGGCCCTCGCTTTGAAGGGACAACGCCCCGCGTTCTCCTCCCTCCTCCCATCCGTGCCTCTGCCTTCCGCATGTCCGCCATTTCGACACACCCCTCGCACGCTTCGTGGCCCCATAGGGAGCTCCACCGAAGGCTCCAGTGGGAGGGTTCGCATGGAACCACACACGCTCCGTGGCCGCATAGAGAACTCCACCGAAGGCTCCAGTGGGAGGGTTCGCATGGCACCACAGCACCCCATTCGGCACACCCCTCGCACGGTTCGTGGCCTTATAGGGAGCTCCACCGAAGGCTCCAGTGGGAGTGTGAGGGCCTGTATGGCACCACCGCACCAAATTCGGCACACCC